TATATATATATAAATAAAAATTTTAAATATTAAATACACAAACACAATTAAAAAAATTATATATTCACCAAAAGTTTATTTTTAATCCTTGATAACTTTGTCTTGCTATCAATGAAGGCTTTAAATATTAAGTTTGATATAACAAATTAAGCACTTGGAAGGAATAAAAAATATTTAGAAATATATGAAGTAACATAAAATTATAATAATAATATTATTAAAGATAATTTACTCATTAAATTTTAAAATAAAAAATCAATCATTATCAAAATCTTACATTTTAAAATTTCACTATGCATTTATTTTTAGATAAATTATCAAATTATTATTATTATTATTATATTAGTGATATCAATGCAGTGTCATAATTAACATCATTTTAAATTTGAGACTTCCATATATGGCTCTCTAATTTTAGTTATTTGTAATAACTCATTGGATTTGTAATTATTATCATGGATTTATGATTATTAGTATAAATTTACTATCATGTCAATATATACAGTGTAATTTCACAAACATTGAATGCAATCAAAATAATTTCCAATATCTCTATTACTCTATTATTTGTATCATAGTATTATAACAACTGATAGTTACACCCCTCACCTTATTCATTGCCACCACTAGCCCAAACCATACAATTTTCAATTTCCATTGAACAATACCATTATGATTGTCTTCGATGCCACTACTTTAATAAGAATAAAGCTCACTATTACAAACTAAATTTATTGTAAATTTCAATTTCATGCTCACAAGATAACCTTATTCTCAATGTCATAGTAAGATCTCTCAAGCCAAATCTAGCCCCCTTCATATAGTTTGCAAAAACACCACTTGAAGCATGGGCTACTATCTCACTCATTATTTTATCCATTACCAACTCAACCTACCTAATCCATAAAAACCTCACCCAAATTCTCTTTCACTCTTTTCTTCATATATATAATAAAAAATAAATTAAAACATCTTTGTTGAAACTATTTCATAATATAAGATTAAAAGAAAAAAAACACATGTGAATACTAAAAATATCATAATGAATTAGTGGTTTATCATAAATCATAAAATTTTGTTTAGTTAAATAGTATTGTGATAATATTAGCGCAACTCGATTATGCATTATGTTTTGTCAATTGCACCTCTTGAAATTTGACTAATAGGATTGGTGACCTCTTGTAATCACTAAATGGAAAGAGAGAGTTGTTAAGTAGTATGAGCTCTTTGAAGTGAAGAGAAATGCTTATAGAATATTGTGGTTGTGCATATATATATATATATATATATTAATGTTGTGAATATGTTAATCATTAAAGAGATTTGTTAACCATCAACTTTATTACTAAATGATGGTCGTATATTAATGTCTGAATAGATGAGAGAATTGAATGAAGAAAATATTATAAGAATATTATAGGTAGAATTATCTCAAAGGGCTGAGGTCTCATAAGTAGGTGAGGGGTTAAGAAGAACAGTGATGCTAACAAGAAAATATCACAATTCGTAAAATAATTTGAAAAACAAACCAATTGTATAAGCCATTGAGTAAACTAAGAAGTTAGGCATAAGCGGAAGATTGCCTAATTTTTAATAAAGAACACAAATCAAAGTCCAATCAATCATAATTTTGTAAAGACGCCGCTTGAAACTATGCTTACCATCTATCCAAAACCACAACCTCTTCAAAAAGGAGAATAAAAAGATTGTTCTTAATGTTTGAAAACAGCCCTTTGAGTTCTTCCTATTAAGCTAATTAAGAGTAAGATCATTTAGGACAACCTTATTCTTGCTTCTACCTATAAAAGTGAGTGAGCTCATCAACAGGCTAAATTTATTTGGCTCTCTCTAACTGATCAGGACAATCTCTTCTTTCTTTATCAAAAGATTAAAAGGCACTCAGATCAACACTACATTGAAGATATCCTCATTCAATATAAAACTCTCTTCTCATCGGGGCGTTTTTATTTAAGCCATTAGATATTTTCAATATTTGTATAATGCTCTATACAATTTTGATTTGTTATTGATCTCCATGTATAATCTTTCTATGAAGAATTCTTCATCACTGGATGACCAAAACATGCTCATCATTCCCTTCTTTGAGATGGAAATTAAAAATGCTTTTTAGAATCTACAAGCATGAGTCCTTAGTCCAAATGATTTAACTTCTAAATTCTTCTACTTCATCTGGGAGTTGGTTGATCCTCAATATCTGACTATTTTCACCCATTTCTTATGCACCAATAAGCTTCTCAACTTAGTTAAACATTCTTTTGTAACCTATATTCCCAAGCAACTACATGCTAACAATGTCTTACTACAAGCTTCCTTCCTGCAACACTTCTTACAGATTCTTCTCCAAAATCCTCACTAACAAAATCTAGGCAATTTTTTCGCTTCTTATTATCATTGCACAAGCAGCCTTCATTAAAAATAGGCTGACCAATTGGCTTTTGTGAGCCTGAGATTGAAACTTGTGATCTCGCAGCAGTTAGAAAAGATACTAATGCTTCATGCTAAGTCCTTTAGCATTTTTTTGGCACGTTTTGGGTTTTTTCCTTACTTAATCATACATTATTTTGTTATTAATTCAATTGAGCTTCAACTCTCACCGTTCCAAAAACAAAAGGTTCAATCAAGATGCCACCGCTCACGCCAACCAAGAATAAAATTACAAATAAGCGCTAAAAATGGCTAAATTTCTACATGAAACAGAATCACAAACGAAATTACTAGCTCCTTACGATGTAAGAGAAAGCGTCGGGGTCGATATCACCACCTCCAAAGATTTTCTTCCCTTCTGCTAGTTCGTTCTTCACCATATCGCCTATCCTTCTCCCTCCTCTTCCGCTTCCATCCATAAATAAACCTAACTTCTTCCTATCCTCATTCGTGCTCCACCATGGAGAGCATTCACTCAACCAGGGAAAATTATTAGGTCCCAACACGACTTAGAAATACGTCCCAATATCCAATTAAAATTTGACATATGGGCTATGCTTTTTGTGCACTTTTTTATTGCACTTTGACTGCGCTTTACCTGTACTTTACCTGCACTGTTGGTGCGCTTCGTTTAGAATACCGCGGACACATTTAAATTATAAATTAAAAAATAAACTTAATTCAAAATCTACATGTGGACTCCTCGTGTCAATATTTTATTGGAGTTCGGACCTATATGTACGTCCGGTGGATATCCCCAAATTTCTCTCCTGGGCCAATCAGAAGCAGAAAACCCGGTCTTCCCCAATTATGTATTCCAGCGGCGGATCCATTGGACTCCAGATGTCTCCGATCGTCTTCCTCTCACATGGATGAGAGAAGTAATATCCGGACTTCTTGCTTGATTGAGCGGGTTGTGTAGTAAAAAAAAACTGGGAGGTTAGAGCAGTATGGCAAATTCTTCCGTTTATCTATCTAGAATTTACAAATTTAATATCTAAGTTTTTATATTTATTTTACTTTCCTAAAATAAATTATATTTGCTTATATAATATTTAAAATATTTATTAATTTTTTGTAATTTTTATGATGGATTTATGATTATTAGTATATATTTACTATCATGTCAATATATACAGTGTAATTTCACAAACATTGAATGCAATGAATAATTTTATTTTTAATAAATTAATATTAATAATTTATTGATATTTTTTTAAATATTTAAATATTATATAAGTAAATATAATTTATTTTAGGAAAGTAAAATAAATATACAAACTTAGATATTAAATTTGTAAAAACGGAAGAATTTGTCATACGACTCTAACCTCTCCGTTTTTTTACTACACACAGCCCGCTCAATCAAGCAAGAAGTCCTGATATTACTTCTCTCCTCCAGGTGAAAGGAAGACGATCGGAGACATCTGGAGTCCAGTGGATCCGCCGCTGGAATACGTAATCGGGGAAGATCGGGTTTTCCGCTTCCGATTGGCCCAGGAGAGAAATTTGGGGATATTTGCGTGTTTTTAAGGCTCTGGTTGAGTGAATGCTCTCCATGGTGGAGCACGAATGAGGATGGGAAGAAGTTAGGTTTAGTTATGGATGGAAGCGGAAGAGGAGGGAGAAGGATAGGTAATATGGTGAAGAACGAACTAGCGGAAGGGAAGAAAATCTTTGGAGGTGGTGATATCGACCCCGACGCTTTCTCTTACATCGTAAGGAGCTAGTAATTTCGTTTGTGATTCTGTTTAATGTAGAAATTAGCCATTTTTAGCGGTTATTTGTAATTTTATTCTTGGTTGGCGTGAGCGGCGGCATCTTGATTGAACCTTTTGTTTTTGGAACGGTGAGAGTTGAAGCTCAATTGAATTAATAACAAAATAATGTATGATTAAGTAAGGAAAAAACCCAAAACGTGCCAAAAAATGCTGAAGGACTTAGCATGAAGCATTAGTATCTTTTCTAAGCTCAGCGAGATCACGAGTTTCAATCTCAGGCTCTCAAAAACCAACTGGTCAGCGTTTTTTTAACGAAGGCTGCTTGTGCAATGATAATAAGAAGTGAAAAAATTGCCTAGATTTTGTTAGTGAGGATTTTGGAGAAGAATCTGTTAGAAGTGTTGGAAGTAGAAGGCTTGTAGTAAGACATTGTTAGCATGTAGTTGCTTGTGAATAAAGGTTACAAAAGAATGTTTAACTAAGTTGAGAAGCTTATTAGTGCAGAAAAAGTGGGTGAAAATAGTCAGATATTGAGGATCGACCAACTCCCAGATAAAGTAGAAGAATTTAGAAGTTAAATCATTTGGACTAAGGGACTTATCCTTGTCGATTCTAAAAAGCCTTTTGAATTTCCATCTCAAAGAAGGGAATGATGAGCATGTTTTGGTCATCCAGTGATGGAGAATTCTTCATAGAAAGATTATGCATGGAGATATACCACGAATCAAAATTGTATAGAGCATTATACAAAGTTGAAAATATCTAATGACTTAAATAGAAATGCCCCGATGAGAAGAGAGTTTTATATTGAATGAGGATATCTTTAATGTAGTGTTGATTTGAGTGTCTTTTAATCTTTTGATAAAGAAAGAAGAGATTTCCCTCAGTTAGAGAGAGCCCTACAGTTAGAGAGAGCCAGATAAATTTAGTATGTTGATGAGCTCACTCACTTTTATAGGTAGAAGCAAGAATAAGGTTGTCCTAAATGATCTTAGTCTTAGCTTAATAAGAAGAATTCAAAGGGCTGTTTTCAAACATTAAGAACAATCTTTTATTCTCCTTTTTGATGAGGTTGTGGTTTTGGATAGTTGGTAGGCATAGTTTCAAGTGGCGTCTTTACAAAATTATGATTGATTGAACTTTGATTTGTGTTCTTTATTAAAAATTAGGCAACCTTCCACTTATGCCTAACTTCTTAGTTTACTCAATGGTTTATACAATTGGTTTGTGTTTCAAATTATTTTAAGAATTGTGATATTTTCTTGTTAGCATCACTGTACTTCTTAACCCCATTTTCACTTTGATATTTTGGTCGGATTAATTAATTCATTATGAGAACTTGAACATCTTAAAAAAATATCTTCTACCAACACTTGACAACTACAAGTTGGCCTCCATCAAGGAAGTCTCCAAGTTAGTTATGATACTCAAGTGTTCCAAAATTTTGTCTTTACTTGTATGCACAATCTCAAAGAGTTGTTCGATCTTGGAGCTTGAATTCATATATGCTTCTTGTGCACTCTCGAGATCTCTCCTTAACTTCTTCATATGATTTTCCACCACGACTACCAAAGAATCCTTCTTGGATAATTTCTCTTTTAAAATCATCATGGCTTCCTTAGCTTTTATTCTCTCGAATATTTCAGCCTCGATGCTAGTTCACAAAAGAATTTTCTCTCTACTAAATAAGACTTCACATTCTTTCTTCTCATTATTTACAATTTCATAATCCTTTATTTTATTCTCATACATGGCAAGCATTCTCTCATGGTTTCTCTCCGGGAAGAAAACTATCTATCTACATTCTGAATGCTTAAGCATGACAACCATGTACATGTTGCTTTTTGGCATCTCTTCGAGCTTCTTATGGAATTGATCAAAGAAGATACAGGGTTGGGATCATTTACAACAAAATTCAACACTACCGTTGGCTCTAGGGGAAATTACTGAAGTGGATAGTACCCCTACCATAATTATGTTTTTAATTGAAGAAAGTTTTATCTTCCTTAGTGCAAAATGCTATTCAAAGGTAATGTATGGGTGGACAATGGGCTCTTTGTCCTTGTTTGTCTTACCCACCTTTAACCTTTAATCTAAAGCAACTTATTCTTTGGGCTTCTTCTGGAGAACACAATGCCCTTTTTTCTTGAAGTCGGTGGTCCAACTCTCATGCTTGCATAGACTTCAACAGGGATAAAAATACTCTTGTGCCCATGTTGGTGCTTCCACTCTAGAACTCGATTCAAAGATGGCTTTCTCGGCACCTTTTGTTGTGGACCAAGTTGTTTGTTCAATAGATTTAGACACCACTAACCAAAGGAGTAGGTACTATCGTTGTTTGAGGAGAAAATTTTGTAATTTCATCTTCCTCATAAACTCCAAGATGAGTTGTGGTCTCTTTATTGGGTTTCTACCCTTAGAGATGAGGCTGACTTCTTTTTTATTGTTGTCTAATAAGGTGCTTGATTTGACATTTATTCCAACATTCGCAAGTACGTTGCAAGGCATATGAAATCTGCAAAGCAAAAAGTCATGATAACTTAGATAAAATGTAATAGATAAGTAAAAACTAAAGTTCTAAAGTTCAAAATTTAAATAAAGTCTTACATGCTGATTGAGGTTCAAGGTCGAGTGCCACTTTAGTCATCTTCTCCAATGAGTACAACTTGTAGTCAATAATATAGTTCTTCTACTCTACAAAATTGTTAGTACTCATCACTAGAGATATTCAATGAGATGCCCCATGAGATCTTGGTTAGCTTGGTCTTGATCAGTGATTTTACTAAAAATATTTTAACTTCCAATCTTTTGTTGTCTAACCAATCCATCTTAACATACTTGACAAAGTAAAGATATGTATCATCTTTACAACAAACATTTTGTAAAAAGGTTTATGGACATGGTTCACCTTATATTTTATTTATGGAGGAAGATAATTAAGAAAATCACTTTAAAAGGGAGTTTTAACATTACCTGAGCTGGATAATGGACAAAAATTTAAGAACTTAATGATTTTAGGAAAGAAAGGAAATTACATATTGAGTCTATATTGTTGTTTATAGAAGAATATCTGTATAAGAGAGGGAGTTAGGGAACTTTGTATTCAATGGCATTCTCTTGCGTCCTCACAATAAAGCCCTTGCTAAGTCCCAAATCTTTAAACGAAGTTTTGTCATCATTATTTTATCAATTTGGGAAGCCTAAGCGATGCACAATCTTTTACTCAGTCAAATGGTGATGTCATGGTCAAAGGTTGACTTTTCAGCACATGGCATAATTCATGAAAAAAGTTGACTTCAAGTAGCTAACTTATTTGTAAAGGTCGACTACATAAAGAAAATAAAATTAAAAAATATGAAGTCAAGTGCAGTGCACATAGGGGTGTCAATTCGGGTCAACGGGTTGGGTTCGGGTCGAACCCGGAACTATTCAGGTCAACCCGAACCCGACCCGATTCGGGTCCGGGTCAACCCGACCGACACGAATGACCCGGGTTTGACCCAAAATTGCTAGTTTTCGGGTAAAAAATCGGGTAAATTTCGGGTTTTCGGGTAAAAAACGGGCCAATCTCGGGTTTTCAGGTCAAAAATGAGTTTTCGTGTCACTTTCGGGTCAATTTCGGGTTGTTGTGTCAACCCGAACCCGACCCGTTTCGGGTTCGGGTTGACCCGAACCCGGATTTTTCCGGGTCGGGTTCGGATCGTGTCAAAAATTGACACCCCTAAGTGCCCATATAAAATAAGGATAAGCACGATCTAAACTACCTTGTAAACAAAAACAATTTTTTTTAAACTTAAAAAAAAATCATTACATCAAAGTTAAAAGAAAATAAAATAAAAAATACATAACTGGAGTATGCCAATAAAAAAACCTTCAAAAGAAAATAAAAAAAACACTATGTCAAATTCTAAGATGAGAACTAAAAGTGTCCTTAAACTTATTATGCAATGACGAAACTCCTCCATGAACACAATTGAATTGTGGGCCAAAAGTTGCCTCGCAAGGTAGATCATCACTCTGGATCATCAAGCATAGGATAAACTCAGCCCTCATACTACGAATTGACTCATTCGATATGTTTCTAAAAACTTTCTCATTAGGAAGATTTCCATCCTTAACTCATTGTTCTCTCGGGGAATACTTAGGGTTAATCCACTTGCAAATTGGTAGGGAGATTATCATGCCAGTTAAGGCCGACTTTTACTCTGCTAAGGCACTCCCTGTTGGCTTGGTCGTAGACTTCAAAACTTGCAATCTTCTTCGCAAAAGGCTTCATTTGCTCTACTATTTTTTTGTCCTATCGGACTTTGCCTGAATTCAAAATTGCTTGCTAACTTCTTTAGGGACTTAATCTTAACAAGCAACTCCTCACACTTGCTCTCATGAATCATCGTCCTTCATGCCTCCTTAGGCAATTTTGTTTTATAGGCAGTCACCTCAAAATCCCCTATTTTTATACTAGGAGCTTGAGTAATTTCCTTGTCGAAAGACTCAATAAATCAAGGATTTAATGCTTGCTCGCTGCTAGCACCAATAAGAACAATGAAGAATCGCAACCATCAAAACTTCAAAAGCGAATAACAAAACTCACATTTATCTACTTTGATGTCCATATGTCAAAAAGATCTATGCACTTGGTAGACCAAACCCAAGGAAAATAGGCTAGATCGAGTTTCTCAAAACTTTAATTCCCCAGTTCTTCTTGCCCCTCTTAAAAGGAGGAGAGAATTGAAGAATTGATGAACACCCTTATTTACTGGGTCTTGTTAATTAAGTCATTATGATAACTTGAGTTAGGTTCAATAAGTCACTGAATATTAATTAAACTTAACTTGCCTATAGTTGAAACTAGTCAAACTTTAAGTCATGTAGTCTATTCATAGCCCAAGGATAGATCTAGTCAAAATGATCAATAATTAACCCTTTCTCAACTCTCATTATTGCTACTAAACTCTTCAAAAGACTCATGAACTCACCCATTCATTAAATTTAGTCACCCAGAAACTCCACTATTTGCTTAGAGTGCATACTAATCTGCTAGTGGTGCTTGCTAGAGGAACTCATTCGAAGTTCTCAACTCATAGTTGGCTACAAGTCAAACTAACCTGCTACATAATTAGCTACACTGAGTTTAAATTATATATTTTCTATTTAATCTCATTATATAGCCAACTCTATAACACTGACTTTCATTTTCACCTATAAATTGAGAGTCAATTGTGGATCCATGCACTAATTTAATCTTTTAATCTGAGCCAAAATTCTTGTCACGACCTGGCCTGGAGACTTGAATCAAGGAGGCGTGAATAGACGGTCAGATGGTTAGTACAGTTCTTTCAATAGCATAAAACACTTAACAAACTAGCATCCAACATATAACTGAAAATTTTCTAAAATAAATATCTAATTCAAACATAAACATAACTAATTCATATGTATTTTTATTAGATTTCCTTATTTTGTAGACGAATTCTTTTCTTTCAACATTTAATTCTCATAGGACTTGCCTGAAAGTTTAATTTAACTTTTTGAGTTTTCATAATAAATTCAGTGGATAATTACAGCTTATAATATAACAGTTAGCATATATAAAAGCAATCATATTCCTTTGCTAAACCTTTCATTTAATGTATGCATAAACATTAATATAAATTTAGATTCTAATTATATTCATTTCAAATAATTTTATTTCCTTTCCCCTTTTCATTTATTACAAGAGCACTGTCAAAATTTTGTACCAATAAATGTACAACATTTTCATTTAATGTGCATGGATACATTGTGTCCCTAGCTAGTATTAAAAAGAGGATGAGCTCTTGTATTTGCATACATGCACATTTTCCTTCTTTTTATACTTTCATTTATATTTTATGATTTATTTTATTCATTTCATTTTTCATTACATACATATTAATCAATATATGCACTTTTCACACACGCCAATATATATATATATATATATATATGCATATATTTATATCATATTGTAATATTAATTGCTTACTATTTCTCAGTTTGAGCAACACAAGCACATAAATCATAACCAATAAATATGTGATACAATGTTCAATATTTGCAATGAAATAAAAGAAAATTGAATTTGTTATGAAATAAACGTAATCACCCACTTCTTTGCTTTCTTACTAAAATCCTTTCCAAACTTTCATAATTTCTAGATGGTTTCTTTAACGCAACACCTAAAGCCACATACACAATTATACAAATCTACAGTGAACTTTCATAACTATACTTTCATTAGTTTTAATTAAAATTTTCATTAACATATATATATATATATAATCTTACCTAAACTCCCTTTGATCTCTTATTGGTTTCAACACTTCACCTTTGTTCAACAATTTAAATCTTTCACTATTTCAAATAATATCCAATTGCATTAATTATTGCTAAACAACCTTCTAAAATTAAATGTCGTTGAGATAATATTGAATTTATTTGACATCATTAAAGGCAACTTTAAATGAATCGGACATCGTCTATATAACTATATAACATTGAATGTTTCTAATTTATCATATCTTGATTAAAATTCATCATCTACTGTAAATCTCTAAAATGATTAAAGGTTAAATATTCTCAAATAAAAATTAATTACCTTAACTTTTCTTCCTTCTTTGTCTCTCGCTCGAGCACACAAATTTCTTTTCCTTCAATTTTCTCCTTCACTTAAAGAATATAGAGTAAATAATTACTTACCTATTTTTAGCAATAGAAAAAAACAAACTCTTCTTACAAGCACCAAATTCTTCTTTTGATTCTTTTCTTTCTCACCCAATTTTCTTTTTTTTTTCCTATCTATCACTGCCTCCTCTCGGTCAGAGTTTCTTCCATTTGTGTGATTCAATTGGTGTGATCGAAACTTGATATCCCACACAAGGAGTCGCATATAAACCCTTTTCGATCGGGTCGATTCTCTCGATTTTCTCGCTCGACTCCTCTGCTTCACCCGCTCGACTCTGCCTACTCACGTGATCAAGCCGTCCGCTCGATTCGATCTTCTATTATATTATGCTGGATTAGTTCGGTTGAACCGGTCCATCCGGTTCATACAATTCCCTTCCATGTTTCTCTCATATAGCTTTAAAATTCACTTACAATCCCTTTCTATCTCTAACTTGCCATTGTAACTTTTTTACACTCCCTCTTTTTTAAAGGAGTTTGATTGAGTCTTTTGTAGATCAATTTACTTAAGAGAATCATTTAGACTTAATCTCTCTCATTACTTTTGCTCTTTGGACTTGATCCACATCTCTTATAGTGATTTGGTAAATTTTAATGAACAACATTAGATACAATAATTTAGCTTCTATTTTAATAGTTGGGCAAGCCCATTTACCCTCTAAATTCAGGATTTATACTAAATCTATAAGGGTCTAATCCGGGATTTATCGAATTTGGGATTTATCCATATTTATCAAATACATTTCAAATCCAGGATTCTAGGCTGGATTTATGGGATTTGTTGGACGGATCTTCGTAGAAAACCTTTTGCTCACCTCTTGTTGAAATCATCCAGGCTATCCTCTAAGAACATGTCGCTCTCATCATGGGCTAACGGCAGTTAGTGCTTGCAGTTGGTACGAGCAGTTAAAGTGTATGCATTCATATTTGTTGTGGTTGAATGTAAATCTGCCTCTTCATTTTTTGGCAATTATGCAGTGATCTGCCGTTCTCTCTAACTGGGCAGTTACCCTTTTGCTCTCTTTTTCATATGAGTGTAATTTGTTCCTTATAGTTACTTTGCATTCTGATCTAGGATGAAAAGATACAGCATGTCCTGGGGCACTTTCAGAAAGAGTTTGAAGGTGGTGTGTCAGCCGAGAGCTTGGGTAAGATACATTTTAGGTAGATCAGCAGCAGCTCATTACCATGCTGACATTGATTATAAAGGTCACAGAGATGATTTTTGTGAGAATTTATTGCTTATCAGGAGCAAAGTTTGGGGGATATGGCTCATTTCTTCCAGCATACCAGCGCTCTCCTTCGATTATGTCACAACCAAAAAGCCTAGTGAAGATGCCGAACCACAATGTGTCAAGATCTCCATGCAACTTAAGCCCAGCGAAGTTGCCGAACCACAATGTGTCAAGGTCTCCATGCAACTTGCAACCCGAGGTAGCCTAAACTAGAATTTTAATCTTTTTGACCTACAGAGGACAATCACGTTTGCCTTGCTCTTCATTTTCATGTTCTTTACAATTTATGTTTTAGGATGGAAATCATTACCCATCTGTTCTAGCAACAACACCCATCGCAAGGGCCAACATTGCATCTGGAGGACAACTAAGTGAGAAGTCAGGCAAAAGGAAGACAAGCATTAGCTCAGACAGGACTGAGGCTATTTCACAGTCCCCTTGTAAGCCAGTCAATATCAGTAACCAGAAGATGCTGAAAGTTCATATTAAGGTTGGGCCTGCGAATGTTTTGCCCAGAAATAAGCCTGACATTTACAGTGATTTAGGCCTTGATGTTTCTCCATCTCCATCTCCACCTCTGGGGGATAGTCCAAATGGAGATGATCCTGAATCTCCAGATGCATTCCTGGAATCTCCCAATACCATTCTTCAGGTCAGGCTCAATCATGACCTCACATAGTTTGCTTTCTAGATGTTACAATATATTCTAACTAACAGAATTTAAATATTTTGTTTCGTAAATTTGATGGAGCAGATCATGACATGCTTTCCAGTTCCGGGAGGTTATATTCTTTCACCACTTCCAGATAGCCTGCAACATTCAAATGAAAAAGAGGACATTTTCCTTAAAGATTTTAAAACAGGTCTGTTCAAAGGGCAAACCGAAGCTTGTGCTTCTTCATCTGACACATCTCTAAGCTTTAAATTCGTCAATGGTTCCGCTTGCAAGAAGATTAAATCAAGAGACAAGAGTCGGATGTTAAAGGAAGCAGACAGATTGACTTGTAAGGGTGATATGACATTTTTTAAGAAGGAAACTGAAGTCGAAGCTCCAGTAGACCAAACTGTTAATGCCCCTGATATGTCACACTCATCCCGTGCTAGGTGTGGAGATGCAAGAGAAGAGAGGCAGTTAAATGGTAGTTCAGAAAAAGAAATCTGCAATACGGATGGTAATTTCAAGGATACAAATAAGGTATCACTTAAGGAAGAAATTCCCATATCTAATTTAAGAACGGATAACCTGGTAGGTTTTGTGGAGGGCATAAGAAATGATTTTACAGGTAATTCAGTGAAGAAAGATATCCATTCCAATGGAGAAATGAATTCGATATCTGGTTTGACAGTTAAATCATTTGAAGAAAGAATTGGAAATAATCAAGACACTTCATGCGAACCAGCAGAAAGGGGGAGTCAAGCCTTAAATAGTTATAACGCAACCAAGGCTGATTCTAGAAGGTATAATAATGGGTCGAAGAATCATACTACTGAGCATGAGGGACCTACTAATCACGATCCTTCACAGAAAGCTGGTTCATGTGAAAAAGAACTCTTGATGACAATTCAAGAGATAGACAAAGCATATGGAGGAAGAGTACCAAAGGGAAGCCCTACTTATGACAGACCATGTGCAGAACCATCCAAGGAAAATCTGAGAACTTCATCATCTGTGGCACCTAATATAAAAAATGAAATATCTCATGAAAGTAAATTGAAAGAACACAAATTACACATGAAAGTGAAGAAGGGCAAGGCTGTAGAATCCCATAAAGGTTCTTCTAGATTTATTGAGAAGTCAAAGGTGAAGCTTGGACTTTGCAAGGCTGATAATCTCCAAATTGCTAATTCAGCCACTGATGCGCTGGTTGTTGCTCCTCTTTCATACCATGCCCCACCTTCAGATGCACCTGCTGCAATTTCTACTTCAGTTATAAAGGACAACTGGGTAATTTGTGACTTTTGCCAAACATGGCGCCTTTTACCTTATGAAACAAATCCTGACAACCTTCCGCAAAAATGGCAATGTAGCATGCAAGTTTGGCTGTAAGTTTTCATCTTAATGAACATGTGCTTATTTTCTGCTCTTTTTTTTAAAATATATTTTGGATTTTTTTTTCTGCTGGCATTTATAGATTGATATTATGGATATATTTGTTTCTTAGTGAAATAATATATTTATTTGTAGAAAACAACATTTTTGGTGACATACATTTCTGCATATTATGAGGAGGCTGCATCATGTTGAAATTTGAGTGCATGACTTGATCCTTAAGAAAATTCATTAGTTGAGAGACAAGTCTTCAAGTAGTTGTCTATGTGATGTGAAACTACTAGGAGTTACTTGTGAAATTAAAAGGAACAATTGATTAAAACTTGCCAATGAAAATTATTGCTTGCAAATAAAGAAGATATAGGAATTCAAAGATTTCAACTTGCTTAGGCCAAAGAAGCGCTTTTGATATTAACCGAACAATCAAATCAAAATTCAAGACAATAGTAAATACTAAGTGCACATAACATAATCCATCTCTTAATAACGAGAGGTTCACCTTGAGTACCTTCTCACTCAATCACTCTTAGGCTTTAGCGGAGAAAGACGAACCATACGAAGAAGGATATTACCACTAGGAAGACGACGCCGAGGACCTTCGTTGATGGAGCGGTAGCCGATGGCGGAGGAAGCGGTGGGCGACCGATGATTATCCAACGACCCGGTTGAAGGTGCTCTTCAATCGATAATATTAGTTGGTATAAGATGCAGTCGATGTATCCCTCAACAGTTTCGTCGTTGCCAAAGAAGACATCAAAGAACGGGGATCCAAGAATATCCGTCCTTCCTTGCTTGTTGAAGACAAATCCGTGGTCGACCTCAGGGTTGGCCATGCACCAACGATGAGATTGGGAGAGGTGTCATCTTCATCTCTTGGCTTCAAGTTTCATGAGCAAACTAGGGTTTCCCAAGAGAGGGGATGCAAGGGAAGGGGGCGGCCAAGGTAGGGAGAAGGGGAAGGGCGGCTTGGATGAGGAGCTTAGATTAGATTAGGAAAGGGGGAGAGAATATTTTAATCAAATATGAAATTAATTTCAGATTTTAAGTGGATTTGGAGGGATTTAATTTGAATTTTGAATTCAAATTAAATTGTGATAGATATTTAATTGGAAGCAATAGGAAATAGCCCATTAATGGGGAGGCCGGCTGTATCAAGAGAGGAGGGGTATGGGGAGGATTTTAAGAAGTTTCCAAATAAGGTTTGCCAAATATGAAAGAGAATATGCACAAAATATTTTAAGATCAATTTCAGATTTCGTTATTAGTGATTAAAACATCAAAGTAAAACTAATAAACGGTCACTTTCGTTTAGGCCAAGCCACACAAGATGCTAAACGGAATCAAAATACGTAGGAAAATTAGAGCAATGCATGCGGGATAGTTTCCAACATGACCCTTGTTTAACAACGAGATCCAAAAGCAAAGAAGTAACAATTCCTACGAATACACGAAGACTTTGATCGGATTGAAATTTAAGACTTTCCTTATTTGGAGTTTTGCAAATTAGGAAAGTTTTTGAAATTCAAATTTGAATTTCAAATAATTGAGAACCTTCCTATCTTGCTTGATTCCATCTAGGGAGCCATGATGATGTTTGGAGTCATTATAATGGTGGGGAGCCATGTGAGGGGCGGCGGTAATGGGTAAGGGGTGGCTAAGCGTCGGATTGGGTGGGCTCGGGTGGCGGGTGGGCTTGAGGTGGTGGAGCTAGGGGAGGAATTGGGTGGAGGGGGTTAAGCAACCGGTGGTGGAGGGGCAAGAAGGGGCTGGCGGGTGGAGTGGGGGAAGGAAGAAGAGAAAAACACAAATAAGATAGAAATAAACTAACCATGAGCCGTGGACCCTTCCAACGACTGGTGGGTATTGCGCTTGCTTACCTTGAGTTCTCTCTCCCTTCTCTCTAGTGCTCACACAAGAAGAAGAAGAAGAAACACAGGAAAGTTTTCATTAATCAATCAGCATCCTCTTACAACACGTAAGACCACAATATATAGGTCTTCAACATGAAAACAAGAAAGTACGTAATTGCCCTCCGGGCTACAATAACAATACACTTACCCATAGGGGTAAATTCGGAAAATAACAAAACTACATAAATCATAACATAAAGAAATGCATCAAAAGTAAAGGCGCTGAGTCGTAGCCATCGATCTACGATTCCGTCGCCGGTACACATGTCTGAATCTCTGAACGATGTCATCATCATTCTCCTCAGGTGGGAGAAAACTCGACCCCATCGAGTGAGTGTCCCTAGAGCACTCGTACAACTCTAGGAGGTATGCATCTAGACCCTGCAACTCCTCTCGGTCAACCCACGTATCCTTTGTTGTCGGGGTCCCTTTCTAGTGAACTAAGTATCTTCGATGTCCCCCTTCTTTCGTGGAAATGATCTCATCATCTAATATGCCTTCGTTCTTCTCCGCATTGGGTAAGTGAGGTAAATTGGGGAGTGGAGGTAGGCTCGGGATCTCACCATGTGGGGTCACACAAGGCTCATTTGCCAGTGAATTACAGGGGCTAAACTCTGGTCCCTCGAAGGTTACTAGATCTTCTATATTAAATGTAGGATTAATGTTAAAACCTTTGGCGAGGTCCGACACATAAACATTACTATTTATCTTTGAAGTTATCTTGAAAGGTCCGACGCTTCTCGCATCAAACTTCTTTGCGGATCATGGAGGAAAACGCTTCAGACGGATTTGCACCATCACAAAGTCTCCAACTTCAAATTCTTTAAATCTTCTTTTATGATCAACAATAAATTTATAATTAGCATTGTTTTGTTTAATTTTCTTTTAATTTCTTTGTGTAACTCATGTAGATGAGATGCAAATGCAGATGCAGAGTCTGATGTTCTAACTCTAGGACTCATGGGAATCAAATCAATGGGTTGTTTGGGTAGGTATCCATACACGCTCTCAGTAGGACTAAGGCCAGTAGTTCTATTAACAAAGTTGTTATAGGAAAACTTGGCAATAGGCAACTTAGAATTTCAATCTCTAATATATTCGCCTACCAAAGTCCTTAAAAGGTTTCCTAAGCTTCTATTAACTACCTCGGTTTGTCCATCAGTCTGGGGGTGGAAGGTTGTTGAAAATTGAAGTTTCGTACCCATTTTGTGCCATAGGGTTTTCCAGAAATAGCTTGTAAACTTAACATCTCTGTCGGAGACTATGGTTTTTGGTAAGCCATGAAGTCTAATGATCTCATCAAAATAGAGCTTGGCAATCTGAGAGGCGTCAAAAGTTTTAGAACAAGGGAGGAAGTGGGCCATTTTCGAGAAACGGTCGACAACTACACAAATAGAGTCATGTCTTCTCACAGTCTTTGGTAAACCAAGAATGAAATCCATATTCACATCCTGCCAAGGTCAATTAGGTACAGGGAGTGGAGTGTAGAGTCCTATGTTCTGTTTGCGTTGCTTGGCGAGTTGACATGTGTGACTTCTCTTTAAAAGTTTACTAACATCACGCTTTAGACTCGATCAATAGAATCGGTTCTCTAAGGTGCGATAGTCTTAGACTGCCCAAAGCAACCAGCTCACCCTCCCGCATGTAACTCCCAAACTAGGTATTCTTGGAGAGACGTTTTGGGGATAAAAAGTTTGTGAGCTCGAAATAGGTACTCATATTCTATTAGGAAATCATTGATAGTACGGTCACTTCTTGTGGTCAAGGAGTTATATATTTCACAAAAATCAGGGCAGTCCTTATAGTCTTATTTGATATGCTCAAAGCCAATCACCTTAGTTCTCATCTTACGGGTGATCATTATTCGACGACTTAAGGCGTTTGCAGCCTTATTTTTAGATCCTGCTTTATGTCTAATGGTATACGTGTACTCTTGTAGGAATTCTACCCACCTTCCGTGTCGGGCATTAAGTTTCTTTTGAGAATTAATATATCGTAAAGCTTCATGATCTAAAAAGATGACAAATTCTTGGGGAAGTAGATAATGTCTCCAATACTTAAGAGATTGAATAATAGCGTAGAACTCTTTATCATAGGTGGAGTATTGCTGTCTAATGTCATTCAATTTCTCGCTAAAATAAGCGACTAGATATCCTTCTTGGGAAACGACTCCACCAATGCCAATTCCAGAAGCGCCACAGGTTACCTCGTAAACTTTAGAAAAATATGGTAATCTCATGACTGAGGCTTCTACCATGCATTTCTTAATTTCCTCAAATGCTCTAGTGGCAGAAGTAGTCCAATGAAATTCTCCCTTCTTTAGGCAATCCATTATTGGGGCCACTATAGTGCTAAAGTTTCTGATAAACCTCCGATATAAAGTGGCCAGTCCATGAAAACTTCTAACATCTCTGATGTTCTTAGGCTCGGGCCACTCGTTTATTGCTCACACTTTCTCTGGGTCAGCGGATATGCTCTGGGAGGATATAATAAATCCAAGAAAGATTACGTGATTAGTGAGGAATGTACATTTCTTGGGATTAACAAACAACTGATCTTTCCTCAAGACTTTGCATACTTGCCTTAAATGATCCAAGTGTTGATCCACCGAGTTATTATAAATCAGAATATCATCAAAGTAGACCGCTACAAATTTTCCTAGGAAAGGTCTGAGGACCTGGGTCATCACTCTCTTAAATGTACTTGGAGCATTGCTCAGGCCAAAAGGTATCACTGTCCATTCGTATAGTTCATCTTTAATTTTAAAAGCGGTTTTCCATTCGTCTCCTGGACGGATCCTAAGTTGATGGTAGGCACTTTTAAGGTCAATTTTAGAGAATAATGTGGCTCCGGTCATCATATCTAACATGTCATCTAACCGAGAGATGAGGAAACGATACTTGATCGCGATTTTGTTGATAGCGCGACTATCAACACACATTCTCTATGACCCATCTTTCTTAGGGGTTAGAAGGGCAGGAACAACACATGGACTGAGGCTTTCCTTGATGAAACCACATTGTAATAACTCATCGACTTCTTTCTTGAGCTTAGCGTGCTCAGTTGGATTTATGCGGTAATGG